AATTCTTATTTCTTATTTTTGTAATAAATTGCATTTTTGAAAATATCAGACAGTCAAGCAATATTTTGCTAGTTATTATCTTCATATGTAATCTTATTATTATTATTGTTTGGAGCTAGACTCATTTCTATTTATTTAAATTAAATCACTCACATTATCTCATTTTTATTAATGCCTTTATAATAATAATAATAATGATAATAATAATAATAACAATAATAATAATAGTAAATAAATAAATAAAACAATAGAGAAGTGGCATCGTTGCAAAAATAAGATCAATGAATTAATTATTATAAAAGCTGAAGTAGTGATAAAAGAAGCAATAATAATTATACCAATAAAAGCATTAGCAAGAATGATTATGATAATAGTAATAGTAATAAGACAATGATAACTTTGTTAACAAATACTTGATAATGTTACTATCACGATAAACTTCACTACCCTGCGCAATTTCAAATATATTTGAGTTCAATAAATTAGGGGCAAAAACATTATTCGGCAATTATTAGAGAATCTCACACCACGGATAATCCAGGTCCAATTTTTAATTCATTCATTCAATTTTATTACATTCAAACTTTTTCTGTGCCTTAAAAATGATTCAAAAATAATACAAAAAAGTGAACAGTGAAAAAAAGAATTGTAAAATTTATCCTTTTCATATCTTTTATAAGTACTTAAACGTGGAATTCAACAAATTCTTTTGAAGTTTGATTCGTAAGATTGAATTTTGATGACGAGTATATGTATCCTTTTTAGTAAAAATACGTGTAAAAGTTTTTGCGTAATTAAATTTAATTAATTGAATTGAAGTATGTGCAAGTTTTGAATTTCTTTCATCTCATTTTTTAACAAGTAATTACATGTGTAATTTTGAAAATAAGAAATCATTTTATAAATTTGTTTGCTCAAACTTGTTTAATTCTTATGATACATATTTAATAAATGACACTGGCAACTTATTTATAACGTGTAAAGTAAAAACTATTACGTCAAACATTACTTTAACGTATAATAACAAGCGGAAGTTCTCGTCTTCTCAATTTTGAAACAAAAAAGCATGCATTTAATATGGCGGTTATTAACATAAATCTCGCGCACTTGACATTAATCCGATCCTCCTTCATCATTTAAGGACTAGTACTAATATTATTAATGCTTACTAATAGCCTATTTTGATATAATTAATATGTATTATCATTAATCAGCACTTTCTTTTAACTTTTAATGATTATTAATTAAATTATCAATGTCATTTTCAGTGATACTTGCAGGTTATAAAATGTTATCCTTCCTATAATATTACAGTGTAATATATCAGAAGATCGGCATCTTCATGTAAATCGCAATATAAATTTAGTGTGTCAAGTTCATAGGTTAGATTCAATCATTTTACCATCAATCATAACATGACATGGAACCTTTATTGGGTTAATAATGATTGATACGTTGATATAAATACTCATAATATTGGATACATAAATATAGTTTTTAGCGAGTTGTTTACATATATACTTTGATTTTTTAGCTTACAAATTATTAAAACATTGAAAACTAGTTAGACTGTCACAATTAGTTATTCGAATTCTGTATTTACTTCCATATCAACTGGCACTGCAGACTTTTTTCATATATAACAGTACTTATATTCTGATATAAGTTCTGTAATTTACAGTAATTACTACTACTGATATTTTTTACATACATGTATATAGTAATGATAATAACTGAAATGTTACGTAGATGAAAAAATGTGATATAAACAGTGATGCCATGAAATGAACTAATACATATTGTCTATGGTCCGATATATTATTTGTGCGCTGATAATATTAATTAAATAAAATATCTGCGTGGCAATCACTAAAACGCATATCAGTGAACTGATATTATAATGTCATTTGATTAAGGCATTGATTTTGTATAAAAACATTTGAGAAAAAAAAACTTTTATCAAAAACGATATAAAGAAATTTTATTAATGGTACAAGTAAATAAAAATAAAAATGGTACAGGTGGAAATATTGATAGAATGAATGAATTTTACTGGATAAATTAAAATTAAAACTGGATTGAAGAACAAGTTTTTTTAAGGATGTTATCAGAAATTTTGATTTTAAATAAAGTTCGTTTTATTTTTTTCATCGTCACATTTATTCATTTGGAAGTCTTCATATATTCGACAGCTTCTGGTGCTAGCTAAAATAAACAATTAAATACAAGCGAGTGATTTATTTATGAAAAAATTTATTTTCAGAAATTAAAAATAATTTTTTCATGTTAGTTAGTTACAACTACATATTATTAGAAATAATTCAAAAAGAAAAATAAATATATCAAATTGAGTTATGTATTATTTTAAATATTCTTCGATATTTGAAAAAATGCTGGGATTCAAGTAATTGCTATATAATTTTTGCCTTTAAAAAATATCCAGTCGTTAGATGCCAGACGTCATGTAATCTTTAATTTACAAACAATACGAAAAATTAGCGTAATCTGTAAATGAATTGTACAAATTAACACATAAATCTTTTACCATTTTTCCTGATGCAATCGAATTTTGTATAAATCTTCGAAATCGATGCACAATGTTTTCAGAAGCTAGATCTCTTCTGAAATTGTGAATCGTAAATCATTTCATACAGGATTAAATACTCTAATTCAAATTGGCTCAAGAATGCTTCTCATCTTTTATGAATAAATATATTACTTTAAACATTCTGTACAAAGACAAAATTTGTTTCAATCTATACTGAAATCAAATACATATTTATATATTCCACAAGCCAGTTTTAGAGTAATTAAATATTTTGAAGATAAACTTTTTATTATTATTTAAAACAGCAATATCATATTTATTTGAAAAGGCAGAAATAAAAAATATTTAACACATCTAACCCAACCCTTACGATGCACAAAAAATACTTTATTACAAAAATAAAACTTTTCCGACTGTATTTCAAAAGTTCAGTTTGATTTTATCTCTAATTCATCCTCATAAAAGTAACCATTGACCAATTGTAATTAAATAAAATATAAAATTTTTACTCATGTCTTGGTGGTCTAACTCTCGATCGAGCTTCCGTAGTCTCACAAATCATAACCACAATAATAAGTATTACAGCGATTGACCCTTTCATATCCTTTGTTCTATTACAATACTTCTTTAAACTACAAATCACAAATTTAATAAATTTCAGTAACTTTAAAATAATGATTAGTAAATCTTTTATGATATTAAAATTTGCAATTCAATTAAGTACAGAAACAAAACTACTACTGATAAATTCTATTTTTGCTGCAGCCGTTCATAACAATCTTCTATCTGAACACTGATTATTCTCTAAAGCAGAACTCACAGTATTTGATTTCTATCAAATTCAATTCAAAATTGTAAAGTTTCCAAATATAGATAAAGTTTAAAAAATATTTTCTGCTAACTAAAGTCATTTCTAAACCTGAAATTTGATAAGAAATTGCTAGTGAGGAGAATGAAGTCACAAATATGAAAATATTAAAAAATTTATTTCTTATTTTCTGAGCATATGATACATTGATAAATGAGATTTTTTATAATTAGAATTATAGTGAATGCAAAGAGCAGTTAAAAAGTGAATAAACACATGATTTTCAATATATTATGTACATAGAGGTGCTGAAGAATTAAAGAGTGATTTCATATTTAAGTACATATTTAAATCCGTTAAAATGAAATCAAAAACCAGTAATTATGGAAGAAGTAAAAGAAATGTGTTCAAAAGATTTGCAAAGATTAGAATGTGTTTGGACGATTTATGAAAAAAAGTGAAAACTGAGAAGATTACAATTTTGACAATAGTTAAAATCAGAAAATGCTTGCATTGTTTGATTCAAAGAAAGTAAAGAATAACTGAAGAAAATTTAAAGGTTTAAATTCGTACAAGTTTGAGAAAAAGCCTTGATTCAGCGAATTGGTCTCTAATACAAATTCGCCGAATCGAAATAAATTAAATTGCATGACTCAAAATTTACTGAAATAAATTGAAAAAAACAAGAAAAAAAGGACAAAATATGTACACGTAAGAATGAATGGATTTCGCATAAATTGACAATTAGTTATTGCAAATGCGCATCTTGGGAATTCTAAATGATAAAAAGAAATATAAATGTAACTCAAAATTTACTGAAATAACTAAAATAATACCATAAAATTGCTTTACTTGCGATCTTCATGATACTAATGACAATTCATCAAACACTAAAAACTGATGCAATTTTATCGCGATTGACTATGTTTGAGCGTACTTTCCATTCGACACATTGTAACACTCATGAAAATTCATCAAATACACCTAATATATTTTTGAAAAACGTTGCTAGTTTTAACTGATTACTTACTTTATATACTAAATTCGAATTTATCATTTTAAATGAACTCAACCACAGAAGACAAATTTTCTCAAATATTTTTCAAGCAGTAAATGTTTAATATATCTCAACAAAATAATAATTCTGGTTTTAAAACAATATTAAATAAAAAGCACTTGAAAACAATTCAGAATTTGCTTCAAAATTATCATTTAATAAAGTTACTAAATTATTTGTGATTTGCTTCGTTCCTACCCATCATGAAGTCATAAAATATGCATAAAAATACATTTAAAAATTTTCAAACTTTCAAAATAAAATATACAACGAAAAATATGAGTCAACTTTTATCCACTGGTTTTATTCTGGACAATCTTGCATACTGCAATCCCGAAAATATCGTTGTTGCAGCAGTAGTCAGACTGAAACATAATTACTTTTATCTCATTTTAAAGAAGAAGTAATGGAAAATATAAAAATAGCCGAAATATTACACAATGACTAACCATATATAATTCAAAAAAGGATGACCAATAAAATTAAAGGCTGGAGCTGCCAAACTACTAGCAACTGTGCACATCTGAAGCGCCGTATTTATCTACAAATATTCAAATAAAACTCATAGATACTTGAAGATTAAATTTCAAAATCAGAAACCTAAATAGAACATTTGTAGAAATCAACAAGAAAATTCAGACAAAATTTTAAAACTTTACGCAAAGATGTTTTAATTCATAAAAAAATGATTTAAAAAACGAACCTTACTTACAACTGTCGGTTTGACTTGAAGTGGAGAAATAGATAAATTAAAATATCGAAGCAACGTCACAGGTCTTTGCATACTTTTATACCTGATAAAGGCAGCTCCAAAAATCAAACCGATGTCGCGCAATATAACCAATATCGTGAGAGGTACTTAAAATAAATAACTGAATACATTAAATACAGAATGATACAAAATATTTTTGAAAATTAAAATCTTCAAATATAAATTTGATATAATCAAGTAAAAACAGCACATGGTAGAAGTTTAACGTAAGTGAGAGTAATAAACAAAGTTGTGATAAGTAATTTATCAGCCAAAGGATCAATTATACTGCCAATAAGCGACTTTTGGCCCGGAAAATTTCGAGCGATATAGCCATCCAACTTAAATACAAAATAAAGAACAAAATTACCGAAATTTACAGCAAAAAAGTTGTTAATTATTACATTATCAGGATATTGAGAAATAGGGCGTTAATTGCGGAATACTGAATAAATAGAGAAATCTATACTTTCATTACAAAAAAGTACAAAATTACAAAAGTGACACTATATCGAAAACTTAGATACTTTTAGACTATTCAATTAACAAACCCAATCTGTTACTCCAGCAGTAACAAACGCAGCTAGTGAGGTTAGATTTGATCCTGTTACAACCAAATATCCTATTACAGGAGTCAGTCCAATCCTGAAAGTATTTTAATACAGGATATATATTTTTAAATCCTACCGAACCACTCCCTTTCATGTCACCATAGACTGAGTAAACTCTACAACAACAAGCTACTACTAAAATTATTTTTAACAGAGCACAAGATTTTGAAGTTCAAGTACAATTAATAATAAACATACTACTACTTATTTCACTTGAAAACCAAGTACTAATACACGTGTGCTTTTTTCAAATAAACACTTAAACACTGACTAGTTAGCTTTCATTAAGAGAACAAACTGCTTAAAAAAAACCAACATAGAAGTTAATGAAACCTGAAAAGACATAATACATTTGGTATCGTCGCCACTTTGTTGCTCAGTTTCCTTCGATTGCCATCTGATGTTAATTTCTTCCGAGCAAAATCTTCGGTACTTTCTGTTTGATTACTGCAAAAGTATGAGAATCCATGCATTAGTTTGGTTAATACAGACTGCATTCCACATTTATATTAAGAGATTAAAAAAATGACGATAAAATGTAAAACATAAGTGAACAAGCACTGATTTGGTAATTTCAGCTAAAAACTTAGGCTTGAGAATATGCAAATTTTTTAGCTTAGCATTATACACCGTATTCAGTTATGGCGTATTATTGTAATTAAAATCCAAAAATTTGAATATACATTAATGAAACAAGTAAGATTTACAGCACTGTGATAAATAAGATTGAAAGTATACCGATAAGACGTTACAAATCTTGATGTAGATATAACACATGGAACCCAAATTGAACTAGTTAATGATCTATCGATCAAGTGTGATCGAATCGGTCGTGATGAACGTAATATTGTTTGGAATAGTCTTCTACTTAACATTGCGTGATATGGCGTGAACTTGAAATATTCGATAGATTTCGAAATTTGAGAAAATTTTGATATCTGTTTCAGTAAATAATAAATAAGATGAATATTTGCGGACTTATAATTTTAAATTTGCTTGAGTTCATATATATAAGACAGTCTTTCCAATCAATTTATTGAGAATTATTTAAAACTTTTTCTAGCTGTCAGACAGAAGTATTTACAAAAAGTTTCTCGGAATATAGTAAATAACTATTGTTTATTATTGTATAAAATTAAAAGGAAGTAATGAAAAATGTACACCGAATAACGAATAAGGCTTGTTCCAATAAATATTACTAATGAGTTAGTTCAAGTTTGAATTAACCCTTAACTGATAAAAAGCTGTGATTGATAAAA